TAGTGCTTCTTCTGATGTCGACATTTCTGGCCAAGTTAGCATCTACATAGCCTGTCAGTATCGTATCTCCACCTTTGAAACAAAGTGCTTTGTTTGTGGTACCCCGCAGATATCTGAGGATTTTATTTGACTACTTCCTAGTGTACCTTGCCTGGATTATTCATGTACCTGCTAACAGCTCCCACTACATGAGCAATATCTGGTCTAGTACAAACCATGGCATACATCAGATTTCCAATTGTTGAGGCATACGACACCTTCACCATGTGTGCACGTTCTTCCTCCGTCTTTGGTGACTGTTCTTTGGAGAGTCTAAAATGAACACCTAAATGTGTACTTACTGGTTTAACATCTTGCATGTTGAACCTGGAGAGTACTTTGTTGATGTACTCAGCCTGTGATAACATCAAAGTCCCTGACTTTGTGTCTCTCTTGATCCTCATCCCAAGAATCTGATTTGCAACGCCCAGATCTTTCATTGCAAACTGCTTCGATAATTTTTGCTTCAAGTTTATAATCTCTTGCATGTCTGATCCTGCAACGAGCATGTCATCAATGTACAACAATAAAATAATAAAGTTGTTGTCGAACCTCTTGATGTAGCAATAATGATTTACTTGACATCTGGTAAAACCACTGCTACTCATGAAGCTGTCAAACTTCTTGTACCACTGCCTAGGAGCTTGTTTTAAACCATACAAGCTCTTCTTCAACCTGCATACCAGGTTTTTCTTTCTTGCCTCTATAAAGCCTTCTGACTGCTTCATATAGATTTCTTCCTCCAAATCACCATGAAGGAAAGCTTTCTTTACATCCAACTGCTCAAGATGTAAATTTTCTGCAGCTATAATTTTCAACACCAGTATGATTGTAAACAATTTTACAACTGGAGAGAAAATTTCATTGTAGTCAATACCTTCCTTTTGCTGAAAACCTTTGACAACCAATCTTGTTTTGTAGCGTTTGCTCCCATTGTGCTCTTCTTTGATCCTGTAAATCCACTTGTTATGGAGCGCTTTCTTGCCTGGTGGTAATTCAGCTAATTCCCACGTCTGATTTGACATAAGCGAGTCCATCTCATCTTTCATGGAAGACTCCCACTTGACTGAATCCTCCACTTGCATTGCTTCATCATAGCACTCAAAGAAGGAGAATACCATTGGGTTGGTTTAGGAATTCTGGAGGAGCGTCTCAGTTCTGGTGTGACTGGTTCTTCTTGAATTGCTTCAGGAGTGATCTGAACATCATTTCCAGAAATCTCCTCAAACTGAACAAATTCCTTTGTTTCAGCTTCGGTGTTGGAGCTACATGATTCCATGGTTGACCTGTCTTTGTACATCACATTCTCATTAAAAATAGCATCTATGCTTCTAATGATCTTTCGATTTTCATAGTCCCAAAATCGGTAATTGAACTCATCACCACCATAACCAACAAAGACGCATTTGTTAGACTTGACATCAAGTTTACTTCTTTCAGTAGAATCTATGTGTACATAAGAAATACAACCAAACACTCTAAGTGTGAAAGATTTATTTCTTTCTTGCTCCAAACTTCCTCTGGTATTCTGCCATCCAAAGGAATTGAGGGCCCATGGTTGATCAGGTAAGTTGTAGTGTTGATAGCTTCAACCCATAGAAATTTGGGTAATCCGGCATGTATCCTCATGCTTCTGGCACGTTCATTCAGAGTTTTGTTCATGCGCTCTGCTACGCCATTCTGCTGCGGTGTCATGGGAACTATTGTCTTCATCTTGATCCCATTGTTTGCGCAGAAATCTCTGAATCTACGATTTCTGTACTCTCCTTCATTGTCAGACCTCAACCGCTTGACTTTCAGACCAGTCTCATTTTCCACCATGGCCTTCCATTTTCTAAAGGTATCAAAGACTTCTGATTTCTTCTTTAGAAAATAAACTCACACCTTTCTTGTAGAATCATCGATGAAGGTGACATAATATAATGAGCCTACAAGAGATGGAACTTGAGATAGTCCCCATACATCAGTATGAACCAACTCTAACTTTTCAGCCTTGGATGTCTTACCAATCTTTGCAAAGTTGACTTTCTTTTGTTTGCCAAAGATGCAATCCTCGCATAGTCTGACATCTACATTCTTTAGATCCGACAACTTCCCTTTTGACAAAAGTGTCTTCATCCATTTCTCGCTCATATGACCAATCCTTTGGTGCCATAGGTTTGATTTTCCATCAGCAACTGCTACATCAATGATATTCTCTAAGTTTGAGGTTACATAGAGAGTATCAGTCTTCTTACCATGAGCAATGACGAGTTCTCATTTGGTAATCTTTCATTCACAGCCTGAAAAGGTTGTACTATAACCTTCTCCATCAAGCTGTCCTACAGAAATCAGATTTCTTTTGAGGCTAGAAATATGTCTCACTCCTTTCAGCGTCCAGGTGGTCTGGTTTGGCAACATTAGTTGGATTTCTCCTTTTCCGACGATCTTCAAGGTTTCATCATTAGCTAGATGAATCTTCTCAAAATCACCACTGACATAGTTCTCCATGATTTCTCGACATGGGGTGGAGTGGAAATATGCCCCTGAATCCAAGATCCATGATTCAATCGGACTGTTGATGCTTAGAATCATGGCATCACCTGTCTCCTCTGTCACGTTGGCAGATTCCTGTGTGCCGATATTTTTCTTCGGTGCTCGGCAATCTCTTTTAAAGTGACCCTTCTTGCCGCAATTATAACAGGTAAAATATTTCTTTCCCGTTCTTGATTTTCCCCTTTTGGATTTGGATCTGCCACGATTTGAATTTCTTTATGAAGTTCTCCCTCTGGACTCCGCGTGCAAGGGCTGAGGAGGTTGATGCTTCACCCGATTCTTTCCGTCGAATTTCTTCGCTCAGTACCAGATCCCGAACATCGTCGAATTTTAATTTGTTGTTTCTCGACGAGCTGCTGACTGTTGTAATAGTAGTATTTCAACTATCTGGTAGAGATGATAAGAGAATTAAAGCTCGAATTTCATCATCAAATTCAATTTCCACGAAACTCAACTGGGTTGTGATTGTGTTGAGTTCATTCAAGTGTTGAGCCACTGATGCCCTTTCCGCCATCCGCAAATTGAATAATCGCCTCATCAAGTGAACTTTGTTTGAGGTTGATGGCTTCTCATACATACTGGAGAGAGCCGCCATAAGATCTGCCGTGGTCTTTTCCTTTGCTATGTTGAAAGCAACATTGAAGGACAACGTCAGTCGGATAACTCCGAGGGCTTGTCTGTTGAGAAGAGCCCAGTTTTCATTCTTCATTCCCTCAGGTTGCTTTCCTGAGAGAGGTTGATATAGATTTTTCTGGTGTAAAAAATCTTCAATCTGCATCTTCCAAAAGCCAAAGTTCGCACCATCGAACTTTTCAATTTTCACATTCTCTTCGTCTACAGCCATCGCTCCCAATCGAATCTGGCTTCTTTGGATCGTTTCTGACAATTTGTGCAAACCACCGTGTATTATAACACCTTCGTCGACAAACTCGTATCGCCGACAAATTTTTTACTATTCACGAAATTTACTATTCATGTGAATAGTAATAAATAGTAACCTCGTAAAAAATTGACAAAATTCACAACCAAAAGCTCTGATTACCAGTTGTTGGAAAATAAAACAAGTAACAAGTAATTTTCCTATAACCAGATTAGTGAGAATGCGAAATAAAAGCGGAAAAATAATATCCGAAATTGATAACGAAGTTTAGCCAATTGTGTCTACGTCTCCGGACTGCTGCAGATCTTTTACTAAAGAGAAAATTTACAGGTGTTTACAAAACACTCACTACTCACTAGAAAACTCTCTAGTATTGGGAGAAAGAAATGATTTGGGATGATTTTGAAGCTAAATGGATAAGGGTATTTATAGTTGAAGCTTATGGATTAATCTTGTAATTACCCTAAAATATAATGGCTAAATGTATGATTTAACCATTATCATTTTCAACACAAATTTCAAACCTTTGAAATAAGCACCATTCGATGCCAAACATTGTTGAATTTCCAACAATCCGGTGCCTACCCTTTGAAAACCCATGCGCCTTTTTCCTTTGTTGAAAAACACATGTCGTGCGCCTTTTTGACTTTACACATTGGGCACTTTTTGAGGATAAGGTTATGACAATAGTGGTTCCCAGTTTTCCAATTTTTAAAAGACATCTAAGTTGAAATGGTTTATTTAACTGATTTAATTCGATTAATTTGGTTAAAATCAAAATTTAAATAATTTTAAAATTATTAATATATAAATAATATATTAATATTTAAAAAATTTAATTAATCCAATTAATTAACCGATAACTAAACTTTTAAAAAATTATTAAGCATTAACTGACCAATTAACCGAAAAAATTTCAATTCAATCGGTTAACTGAAATTTTCAACACCTTAGTTCTTTCCCTAATTGACGTTTCTCCTCTTTTCCAAAATAATATATAAACCTAATAAAAGTGTAGAGAGTAGCAGATCAAATTACCTAACAAAAGTTTGGTTTAATTTGTTTTTTCTTTTAATAATAAGAATGTGCATAAAATTTTATGCTAAAAAAGAAAATTTTACAAGATTTAGAAATATAAAATTATGGGTAAACTACATGATTGATTATTTCGTTTATATTTTATCCATTTTTCTTATTGATTTTAAAAAATATAATATTTAGTTATTTTTATTTAATTAAGATATAACTACTTAAGATTAAATGTCATTAGATTTTTAAAAGATTTTTGACAAGATACGTTAATAAAAATGTTTAATTTTATTTTAATCCCTAAATTTTAGATAAAAAATTAATTATAGGTATTTCTGTAAATAAAAAACTTTAAGGACAAATTTTTAATTATTCCTTTGTTACTTTTCTTCAATGCCGCACGGCCTCCGTCCGTAGGTTTCTTATCTTCCCCGTCGTCGTTTAGTCCAACTTCGAGGCTATGAACAGACTGAAAGCTTTTGGTGACGATAAAATCAAACAAATCGACAGGGAAAAGCTAAATGTTACCTATTCGAAGCTTTGCTTCTCTCTGTAGCTGTGTTTAATATTTTTGTCTGAAAAAATATTCCCCATCTCGTCCGGCTACATCTTCGGTCAGGTAAATTTCTTCTTCCACGCCAAATTATTCCCAAGAAAGCTAAACTAGTCGAGAACCCAAGGGTTACCTGGTTAAATTTGGTCACTTTAGGTCTTACATTACTGTACAGTCTTAGATTTAGGGTTTTGATTGCTTGCATTTTCTTTTTAAACTAAGGGTGTGTTTTGTTCACATATGTAAGATTTGAGAATAAAAGATTATTAGGAATGTTGTATTTTGTGTTTGGCTGATTTATCAAGAATGTAAGATTACCGTGTTTGGTTAAACGAATAAAAGATTATTGAAATGTATATTTAATTAAATTATCTTTATTATATATTTATTTTTTAACAAGTTGAATTCTAATATAATATTACTATAAAATATTTATATATTTTCTTTAAAAAAAATTAAATTTATAAAATTAATGTAATTTTTTTTATAAAATTAAAAAGATAAATAGATTTAATGAAAGATTAACATTTTATTTTAACTCCTGAATTTTATTTAAAATTTTAATTATAGATTTTTTTTTGTAAATCTAAAATAGTTTAAAGATAAATTTTTAATTTAACTTTCGTAAAATTTTTATTATTCAACGACAGAAAAATAATATTTTTGAAAAAAATAAATTTTAAGAGTATTTTAGTGTAAAACGCCGATAATTCAACAATACCTAAGAGAAGAAATAATCATGTTCCCGGTAATATATCTCAAAAATCTACTGTTGATAATAAAAGATTAGCGGGAATGAGATTACCGTCCAATCAAATGAGAGAATGAAGATTTCATTATCCGGTAATACAACATTTCTTGAATTAAATGGAGATAAGGGTGTTTTGTTTCTAAGCTAAAGAAGGATTTTTTTTTTGCTGGGAATCTCGTCTAACTAAGGGTTTGCTTATTAAAAAGCTCAGTGACCAAAAATCTCATATAATATACGATTTTAACCAACTTTTTCTGGATTTGCCAAAATGACCAATAAAATCGCAATGTGATCGCTAATTCGCAACGCGATCTCCATTATCGCAAATCAGTTTCCAGATTCGTAACGCGATTATTACTATCGCAATACGATTTTCCAATTTCGCGTAGCGATTTTCCCAATTCGCAATGCGAATAAGTAAATCGCAATGCAAATTTGGAAAATCGCAATGCGATACTGACTATCGCAACGCAATAATACAAAATCGCAATGCGAATTTTACTGACTATCGCAACGCGATACTGACTTTCGCAACGCGATACTGACTTTCGCAACGCGATTCTGACTTTCGCAACGCGATTCTGACTATCGCAACGAGATAATACATAATTGCAATGCGATTTTTCAAAGTTCGCAACAGGTTTTAGTTTCGCAACACAAATTTTTTGTGTATATATCTACGCAGCAGCAACAACTCATAACCTAAATCCCTAAATCGCAACTCATTCCATCTCCATCTATCACTCTCTCCGGCGACATCCGTTCCTATATCCAACGACATCCTTCCCCATCCGGCAACAGGTCTTAGTTTCGCAGCTCGTTTGTTTAGTAAATTAATTTACAACCATGAAATCATCTAATGTTGATCATGTTTGGATAGATTTGTGTTTTGGAGGGTCATGGGAGAATGTTCATGGTGTTTTACAATATATGCCTTTACCCATGAATCTTCAACTAAAACTGTCATTAAAAAAGTTAACTTATGAAACTCTAATGTTACGTGTTTCAAAGAAATTGAATTTAGAGCCCCTAAGTGGATTTAGGCTATCTTATCAGAGAAATGGTAAAGTTTATTTGTTAACCGACAATGAAGATGTTGAACGATTCATTGCTTACATTAGTGTTTCAAGTGATGATGTTACATTGTATGTTGTTGAACCTAGAAGTAGTATTGTTGGGTCAGTAGTGGGTAGTAATCAACTAAGTTTTTCTCAAAACATACAACCTTTCTCTAATCCAAATCCCAATAAACTTTCAGCACCAAATTCCGATTTTTTGTATTGACCAATTAGACGATGATGAGCCAACAGAAAAAATTGTGAGTACTAGTCAGTATTCGAAATTTGGTCTTGGTCAATACCCGGACTTTGATATTGGTCAATACTCGGATTTTGATGATGTTTCAGAAGAAGAAACAGACCTTGCGTGTAATGATTTTGATATTGGTCAATACCCGAATTTTGATGATGAAACAGCCGTTGCCGAGGAAGATGTTGTTGATGATAATGAGGAGGAAGTTACGACTGTGAATGAACATGTTGAACATCCATTCTGTAATTCATATAATCCTGAAGAAGAAAAAGAAGAAGAAAAAGTCCCCGAAGAAAAGAAAATGCCACGGGAGTATAACTGAAATATGCCAGAATTACTTCAGCTACCGGAAGAAGAGTTGGTAAAGAAAGCAGTTGATTGTTACACAAAAGTTATTCGTATCAAGAAAGATGATTGTTTTGATACAAAGGAAGACTTGAAGATAGCTTTGTATACGAAATGTGTGGAAGATGGCTATCAACTAAAAGTTAACAAATCAAGCAAAGATCGTTTCAAAACAAGGTGTATGATTGACAAAAACTGTACGTGGCTTATGATTACAAAGAGGATAAAAGATTACGAAATGTTTCAAGTTAGGACTTTTATTGATAAACATACATGTTCAAGAACCCAAGTTTTTCCTCACCATAAACAGGCAGACAAAAAGGTGTTGGGTGATTTTCTGGCTGAGTTAATGTTTTTGAATGGCAGGGTATATCGGGGACATGAAATTATGACTGACATGAATGCTCGGTTCAAGATTAGTATATCATATTCTCAAGCTTGGAGAGCCAAATGTTATACATTGGAATTGTTGAGGGGGTCGCCAGAAGCATCGTTTGCCCAACTGCCGACTTATTGTCACAATTTAAAGCTGAAAAATCCTGGGTTGGTAACTCATATCAAAACATATAGAGATGGACGCTTTGAGTTGCTGTTTATCGCCATTGGTGCTGCGGTTAGTAAATCAATATAATTATGTTGACTCATTTTTGTTAGTTACATGCATTTCACATTTAAATGATTATATTTCTTGTGTATATTATTTTGTAGATTCGTTCGTTTATTACTTGCATGCGCCCAGTTATTATAGTTGACGGAGCACATTTGAAAGGTCGATACCTTGGAGTAAACTTATTAGCAGTAGCCATGGATGCTAACAATGGGATATTGTCAATAGCTTACGGGGTTAGCAAATCTGAAACCTCTGATTCATGGACATGGTTTATGGGGCATCTTAGGGATTGCATAGGTCCTATTAGCAATCTGACAATCATATCCGATAGGGCAAACTCAATTGACAATGCTGTTAGAAGGTGTTTCCCATATGCTTTTCATGGACTTTGTGGTGTTCATTTGTATAGAAATCTAAAATCAAGGTCTGCTGGTATAAAAAATCACAAATGTACATACTGGAAGGTTGTAAAAGCTTATCGGGAAGTGGATTTTAATAAGCATATAAACTGTTTAAGACGTGTTTTGCCTCAGTGTGCTCAAACACTAGAAGATGTCGGGTTTGAAAGATGGTCAAGAGTACATCAACTTGGAGCAAGATATGGTTTCATGACGTCTAATAGTGCAGAATCAATCAACGCTCTAAGTCATCATTCCCGAAAATTACCCATTACTATATTAATGGAGTTTTTTCGAGCCTCTATTCAACAGTGGTACTACAAGAAAAGAAACCATGCATGTATTATTTCTTTAAATTCGTAACTTATCATATATTTTACTAAGTATTATTTATTTAAATTTACAGGAACATTGGAACATCGTGTTACACCATGGACAGAAAAAAAGATAACGAAACGTGTTGTGAAGTCAACGTCATGGAGAGTTGAACCATGTTCAAACACTTTGTTTGAAGTACTGGATAATAACTTAAATGGGCTTGTCGATCTAAATGCAAAGACGTGTAGTTGTATGAAATGGCAAACATCTGGTTATCCGTGTGGCCATGTTATAAAAGTTTCTCTTCATCTAAACCAAGATGATTCAAGCGCATACGCTATGGATTGCTACACTACAGAAGTATATCGACAGACTTATGGCGAGATTATCTACCCTATTCCACATCCTTCTGAGTGGGACATACCAGATGACTTACAAAAAGTTTTGCCACCAGCCATGAATAGAAGGCTACCTGGCCGACCAAAAAGTCACGATCGTATACCGTCTAAGGGTGAAGAGAAGAAGAGATCGACATGTAGTCGGTGCAAGGAAAGTGGTCATACAAGGTTGACATGTGGATCACCAGTGCCATCACAATCATCTTTTCCTCTACCAAAATATGGATCCTCATCAAAATCCAAAGCTCGTATGGTGTCAAGAAAAAGGCAATCAAAAAGGCAATCATCTTTAAAATCCCAATCACAACTGGCTTCACCTTTTGGGACTGTTAACTTAGGTGATTTTTAAATGCAAACGTTGTATTATGTAGATTTTATGTGTGAACTTTTAACATTTTCAGTTAGGCATGTATTAGTAACTTGAGTTTGAAAATTGTTATGATTTGTTCAATTGTTATCACTTATTAGGCAATCATTTGACTATCGCAACACGAAAATGACGTTCGCAATCATCTTAATGTCTATCGCAACGCAGAAATTACTATCGCAATGCGAAATGAAAATCGCAACGAGAGAATCGCAATACGAAATGAAAATCGCAACGAGGGAATCACAAAGCGAAATGAAAATCGCAACGCGAATTTAGTTTCGCGTTGCGATTCTCTCGTTACGATTTTCATTTCGCATTGCGATAGTCATTTTTACCTTCAACATAATACAGATTGAAATCAACAAAATCAACCATTACATTTCAATCAATTAAACAAGCACAAATAAGAATTATGTTCACATCAATTAAACAAATCAACTTTTACAAATCAATTAAACAATCAAAAAATAAGCAATAATTCTTATTTCCTAATCTACTATTGAATCAACTTTTGCAGCCATACATCATTTTCACGCAACTCAATTCTGAGATTAACCTGCATAAA